TATTAAGACTAATATGAGAATAAAATTTGCAATGTTTATTTCTGAAAGCTTTGATCCAACATATGAGCATAAAAAACATACTTTAAAAATATGTATTTAAAGTTGAAAGTAAATAAATGTGTATATGCTTATATTTAAATATTTTTAAACTTCCTTTAAATTAGCATTCATATACTCACAAATATGTAAATGAGAATTTCATATTCATATCATAGGCAAAAATTGATTCATTATTGGTACAAAAGTTAGTATTTCATTCAGTCAAAAGTTTTCAATTTGTAGTTCACCTTACAAGAATGAAATGAAAACAAACGCAATCACTATTTCATATTTACCTGTATAATTTCCCTGAAAAACTAAAAACTAATCCAGCTGTAAAAATATGAGGCACACATTAAAGAAGGGACATGTTTAACATCAAGAATTATGGAATTTTTCTTTGCAAGAACATTTCAAGTCCAGACAATAAAAATACTTCTGGCAATACAAAGTAAATACTTTCATTTAAGTAATAGCATAGAATCATTCTCAAGAAGACTGTTATACATTGTATCTGTTATTTTACAACAACAGAGAGAAAATTCGGGATATATTAAAGGCCAGTCATCAAAGTGAAATTAACATTTAGCATAGACTTATTTATATGAACAATGTAAATAGCTAGAATCATCTATTTGATTTAACACCAAACACATTCTAGTATATAATTATTTTTAAAATGAGAATCATCCATTGTAATTCAACCAATTCAACTATTCATTCAGCCAAAGAACAAAATAAGCCTCTTAAAAATTCAGGATTTATAGATTAATATTAGAAATTTTCTCAATATAACATATGGAATATTCTGATCTCCACTGAATTACACTGTACAAAGACACACCACAATTACTCAGTAGCTTATAATTAGGTATAACTGGTCACCAAGACTCCTTGACCAAAAAATACCACTATAATTAGATGAGGCTAAGTCCTATAATGAGGTGAATGTAATAATAATTGCCACAATCTTTTAAAAAACAGAGTATGGAAGTTTTCATTTTCACAACTATGAATTTGGTTTTCCTAAATGTGATTCTGAAATCCAACTTCTAAATGTTTCAGCAGAGGTGGGGCAGTAATGGAAGATATGACTTAATGGAACTCTGGGGGAAAAAAGAAACTCTCAAAGATCTCAGTTTGAAAAATACGTCCGGCATAAGAGATACCACGAATGACTCAGAGTTACCTAATAATCTTATATCAAAATTTATTGGTTAACTAAAGGGCAAAGAGTAAGAGGCAAGTAAATGTAACATTTGCTTTAACAAAGCAGACTGAGTAATATGTTAAGTGTTAGGGCGGGATAGGAAAGAACTCAGGCCGGGCAAAAATTTCCTCTTGGACTTTCTATATAAACATCTATTTTAGTTTTGGACTGTACACCAGTGTGCTCATGTGACAGAGAGAAGGAACTCTGCCCACCCATGGAACACTTCCCAGACCAAGAGGTCCTTGTCTACTGCTCTAGGAAGGCAACTCCTCCTCAGAGGTCCCTGGGGCCCCATGGGAGCATAAAAGTATAGAAAAATGTAAGTCAATTTGTGTCAAAAGTTAATCCATCCTAATTGGATTTTTTAAAAATTGGGTTATTCAAATAACCAGCTAGAAGTACAGACTCTAACTAAAGAACACGGATGAACATCTGTCTAGAAAATGCTTATAAAGCGACATGATGTGATCCTGCAGTTTATTGGCCCTGTATTCTCCCAGAATATGAGCTTATAAAGTCCTGGAAACCTTCAGCTCCCTTTAGCTGCCTTTCCAAGTAAAATCTTAATGAATGAAGTTTAAGTCCTTTATTTGGCTCTATAACCCCTCCAACCAAATAGCCAAGTTGAAGTTGTTTTATCTAACTTTTGTTTCACTGGAAAATGTGGCAGGCTATTTTGACATTGTCTAGTAAGATCAATGGGTAAACACTATTCATCCCAAACCAAATGATGCTGCCTTCAGGGAGTTTTTAGAAAGAAAATCAATTGATACACCAAGAAAGCAGACTGTATGCATAGCAAAGACATTCAGCACAGTTCGAACTTGTTCTTTATGAGGAGGCTTGAAGCCACTTGGTAATTCCAAGCGAGAGGCAATAGAAGTCTTTCTTAATCCATAGTCAGAAGTTTCTGGAGAACTTCAAGCACAATTTCATAACAAAAGTGATACTGCTCCTATATACATATATGTGAAAAACAACAGAATGTTAAGTAATCAAATACCAATATCCACTTTCAGAGAATACATTTGTAATTTTCAACCACACAGGAAAGTTCCTAAAAAGAGCAAACACTTAAATACAAACATTTAAACAGAATTTCTTTATGTAAATATATATTTTTAAATATGATGAAGATAAATGATCATAAATATAGTTGTCAGTCTAGAAACTGAACTGAGGGGAAACTGCCAATCTCAATTTCCTTACTAGTTAGCCAAAGGCTTAACTGAACTGAGGGGAAACTGCCAATCTCAATTTCCTTATATCTTTCCTGGCTAAATCAAATTCTAAAAAGTCCCTCACATTAATATTGACATTTCAAATATATGCGTATATATACATATATATGTATATATAAAGATTGTGATCTGAAAATCAAAAGAATCACCTGCCCCCCTTTTGATCAGAGGCTGAGACAGACCCTCTGAGATTAAGGAAAAACAAAACAACCCTGGAGCTGGGGGCTCAAGATTTGGTCAGTGAGACAACTTCCTGAAATCCCACCATCGCCCTTTCTGCACCCTACTAATGGTGCCAGTAAGGGGAGCTGCTTAAGCTAAAAACACTATAATTAAAAAACCAGACCAACAGCCATTATCTGAACAAAACAGACACGTTACTCTTGATTTGGTCGATTTCTGAATCTGGCTCCTCCTTCTCAGGTCCAGATGCAAATTTCTTGCTTCCAGAATTGACCAATGAACTATGCCCCACAACAAGCCAATCCAAGTTGAACAAGCCTGCATCCTTCGTTTGAATAAGAGGACGTAAATGAGAACTTGGGTGGAAAGTTAGGCAGAAACCTTTGCCATATAAGATAACTCCTTTCCTTTTTGGGGGGTGAGGGGAGCATACTTTAGGCTTTCTCCAGAGGCTACATTTCCCTGGTCTGCAAACTCATTGCCAGTGAAACTCTCTTCTGTATTGTTTGAGTGTCCTGGTATTCACTGGACATCAATATCTAGTCTCAAGTCTCTCAGGCAACCCTAGTTCAAATAAATGCTTCATGACATCGGTCCCAAAACAGGTCAACCTAAAGATTTAGAGGCAACTGTTTGTTTTCATTATTCCTACTCTTTTGATCCTCTTTCCCAAGGATTGATAATTAATCTGTGACATAAACATCTTTCTAGGAAATGGCAATAACCTTGATAGTCTACTGGCAAATAAATATTTCAAATTGCTATCAGAAAGTTTATTAAAAATAACTTTAGATATGTTACTTAAATAACATGGCACTAAGGACAAGACATCTGGAGATGGTGGGGCACCAAGGGACTTTGGTTTCAGCTGTGGCTCCTCCTCTTGCTATCTGAGTGACCCTATGGATCTGCAAGTACTTCATCAGGAATAGCAGAGCAAAACTAATGTCTACCTCAAACAGTAAGAATTCGGTGAGACCATGTAGATAAAAGAGTCTTATAAATTGTAAAGAGCCATACAATGTTAATCTTTATATCACTATTCTTATTAAAATGTATGTGGCAAAAGCTTACCTTCGTTTGAATCATGCCATGACGTTGTTCTCTCATTTGGGTCACTATATTCATGATGTTGAACTGTAACAAGATAATAGTAATTTTGCATTATCCATGTAGGACGAAAAACAAAACCCCATAAGGTCTCCAAATAAGTACTCTATACCTCTTTCCAACAAAAATGATGTCAAGATTTAACCAGAAAGTTCTCATTTTCAGTCACCAAAAATTGTACTATCTTTAACCCAGTCCAATGGATAAGGAAGACTTGCTCTAACAGGTTTTCAAGAGGAAGCAGGAAGCAACCATTCATAATAAGAAATGCTCTCCAAAAAAATAATAAATTTGCCTTGTAATTTCTGTTACCCAAAGAGAAAAGTTAAAACCGCACTGTAATTCTGGAAAAGCATAGAAGACATTCTCTGGCAACAAGCTGTTTCTGATAAAGAGACTTGTCAACTGAAATGGAGACCCTGAGCAACAGTCAGCCCAACACCAGATTTTGCACCTGCACATGCAGATTGGCATGACTAGGTGTGGTCGCTGAATTGGTGCAGGTCCTCACAGGTCTGGTGCTAGTTCACAATGTGATGAGTCCAGAAACTGAAAGCAAATGCTTAGAAATTCTTATGGCAATCCAACACTGTGCAGCATCAAGGAGTGTGATCAGCCAAACTGGATACGGATCAGCTTGGGTGCTGCTGAACTTGCCTGAAGAGTCACACGTGGTACAAGCTGAGTACCAGTCACATGCAGCAAGACTGCTGACACATGGTATTTTAAGGTTTGTCAATGGTAACCCAAAAGCACATAAAAATAGAAAAGAGGTAAGTATTCTTTCATTTTTATATTTTGTCATTTTTATAATAATTTAAAATTTTAATTAAGTCTTTTAAAAAAACTTTTTATTTTGTAATATAGATACAGAGGAAGTTGCAGA